TAGTCTCTCCCCTTCAAGCAGCTAAGGTCAACCAATTGGCTGGAAGAGGTACTGGGCTTGACTCCCACACAGTGTGGGAAGGAGGCAGGACCATGGCTTGTCATCATAGGGTCAGAGAAACTTCCAGGTCACAGGCTTCTAACACTATTAAGGGTTTGAGGAAAGTAAGTAACAGCTGAAATATAAGGTGCCTGTAGGAGAAGAGAGGAAAATAAAGATTAAGCAGCATTCGGTGACAATTTAGATTGGAAAGAAGAAATTGGAGAGTATCTTCATACTTGGGTGACTACTTACTTGGCTTGCTAATAGCATTAACGAAGAGCTTGAGGAAGTGCATGGATTCTCCTGTGCTGGTAACTGTGCAGGCTAGCATCGTTTGTCTTGGTTCTATATCAAGTGTATACAGGACTCGACATTCTGGAAATTCCATTAAAATAGTCACAACAGGAAAAGATATTCATTTGCTCTCTATTCTCACATTTAAAAGCCCTTGTAAGTAGAACAAAAAATTCATCCAGGTATCATTTCTGCTGGCCTTGAAAGACATAGAACACTGGCATTTCCCAGAATCAATTTCCCACATGCCTTGAAGCTCAATCTTCAGTATTGGTTCGGTTACCCTTCTGACACACTCCTCACCATACTCTCATTTCTCTTGGTGAAATACTTATGACCTGAAGAGTCACCGTTATGGTGACTGAGACTCGATGTCATTTTCTGATGGTAAAGCAAAGAGGCAGACTCCTGGGTTTCCCTCCCCCAACCCTATTCAGTTCCCTATGTCCTTAGGTCACTTCTCCTTTTAACTGTGTAGTCAAAATTGGAGCAATAAGCCTGGGGGCAGGGAGTGCAACTAAGAGGCTGCTGCAGGAGAATGATCTCGTCACACAGTTACCCCACTCATGAGACCCAGGATGTTTCCCACACAGCAGTTGGAAACCAAATCTTTAGCCAGTAATGAGCTATTTCCCCAGATTTCTCCTGAGAGATAGTTCCAATCTCAAGAAGGAACTGGTGGTTCAATCCTACCTCAATCACCACAGAAGAAACTTTGGAGAAATAATTCAGCAAGCAAAAAAGTAATTTTCAGGCAAAAGAACAGAAGTCTATGGAACTTAACAACTTCAAATCTCTAATACACAAATTTTAAACCCTGATGGTTCTGGCAGCCTCTAAGAAATTGACAAGTCATGTGTTTTCCAAGAAAAAAAAAACACTCCAATATGCTATCTTGTCCTGCAGTGTTTTAGGAATCCATTGGACACCTGAGAAAAATTTATCAATCTATGGGAGTTCATGATCTCCAAGTTAAATCTAGTACATAGACTTTATATCCAGAGAAACAATGACCTTCTGTATCATGAAATGGTGTACTTAATCCAAGGAATAACAGCCTTAGTATGAATGAAAGTCTTTTCTGATGATAGTAGACATGGCTGTGAGAAGCACACATTATGTGAAGAAAACCCCGCAGAAGAAAGCTGAAATGCACAGAACCTGAAGCTTTCTTTAAAAAAAATAGACATAGTTTAAACAAAGCTAATCCCATTCCTAAAACAGATTATATTAATAAGCAATCAATGTATAAGAAAAGACCGCATTTTCTTTTATTTTCTTGAGCAAAGCATGCTAGGAGAACAGAAGAAAGTCTGTGCAGAAAGAATGAGTGTGCCCAGCTCATCTTCAGCGAATGTGAGAAGAGTCCAAGAATCACATCGCAATGAGACATTTTCCCACAGATCTGGTCTACAACATTATACTTTGCTCTTTGAGATCATGGTCGGATATGGAGACCTTACCCTTAGCTCACCAGCTCTGTATTTTTATAATTGAAAATATGGGATATTGCAGAATTCTTTCCTTCCAAGGTCTGCCACCCATTAGCATGACTTAAACTTGCTGTTCATTATAACCTATCATTTTTCATTGTTTACTATTTTTAAAAAAATATTTTGTCATTTTTGTCTTATGTGTATGAGTGTATTAGGAAATGTACATAAGTGAACCCATGTCATGCAATGCCCGCAGAAGTCAGAAGAGGGTGTTGGATCACCTGGAACTGGAGTTATGAGTGGTTATTATCTTCCGTGTGGGTGCTGGGAACCAAACCTGGGTCCTTTGCAAGAGCTGCCAATACTCTTGGCTGCTGAGTCATCTCTCCAATCCCATGTTTATAATTTATTCCTGTATATTGGATAAAGTTGCTGCTAATAATAATTGCTGGGGACTTTGAGTGGGTCTAGCTACTGCTCCTCCCATCTTGTTCTGAAGCAAGTAAAAAAGAAAAAAAGCCCAAAGAGTCAACAGAAAGAAGGCAAAATATGGCCTTTTTAATAACAAAATACACATGGGCACAGAAGCCTGGCATCAGGTAGGATTATTCCACATCCACTGCTGGCACCGAACAGCAAGAGCGCCTCCCAAACAGGGGCAGAGAAAGTCCTAGAAAGGGACATCCTACTGGAAGACCAGAGGAACCAGGCTGACAACCGATGAGTTGTTTTCTTAAAAAGAAATACAAAAAAAAACTAAATAGCCACCCCCTTTCCCTCTGATGTTGTGAAGGAAAGACAGACACAGAGCAGGAGTGTTCAGTTATGAAAATTACTGACACATAGAAGGAATACCAGAACTTCTAACTGTCAAAATTTTATTCTGCTACCCAGTTAAGCCTACAGGTAACCAAAGGGGCAGGAATCAAGATAGTTGTGCCTCACCATCACATGGCTGATTCCCCACACATGAGCCCTAGAACAAACCACTGCTGTTTTAAGAGGCTCCTGGAACTTTGGGAAGCTGTTTTGCCTTCAGGTGGTTCTAATAATGGATTGGAACAGTGGGTTAATTAAATCAGTCGTGACAACACTAGACCACAGAAAATCCATTCTGTTCTTTTCTGCTGCCGAATTGTGAGTGCTTTCATTGTCCAAACTAATTTACCAGTGATTCTTCAATGAGATTAAATTATCTCATTATGGTAGTAAAATAGAGGCTCATGTCATGATGTACATGAAATACTTGGGAAATTGTTGTTAATTTAACTGAGATCACAGATCCTTGGTCTTCAGATAAGAAATGAATAGGGTAGTGGACAGTGATTATATCTATTTGTGGTCTGCAGAGGACAATATTACAATGTTCTTCTGCTTTAACTAAGAAATCCCACAAATATGTAGATATGAATGTGTGTGTATATATATTTTTTTTCAAAAGGTGACATCAATTTAAATATCATGTCTGTTAATTAAGACTAGTAATCAAAATTACATTTAGAGATTAAGAGTAATTACAGAGGACATAGCAACAACTGTGGATCATTTTTGGGATATTCTTGGTCTGAAGTAATATTTTTCAAGGACAAGGATTTTTTGGTTTCGTGTGTTTGTTTTTGCAGCAAAATACCATGTGCTTATCTAAATCTAAAGGATAATTAACATTTTCATTTTCCTACTGGGATTTCCAAATTAACAGGAGAGCATGTAAATTTTAAGTCAAACACCAGAGACAGAAATTTCAAAGGCTTAAGTAAGTCAAAATATACAATATGAAAATCAAGTAACAAAATAACAAGTTATGTATTACAAATGCCAGTCCAAGGCGCAGATACCACGTCTACACTGTAGGTGCAATACGTGTGTAATTTAGTGATATTGTTTAAGACATTTGTCTGAAATAGTATGGATGTCAAAGAACTGCACAGGTCACCAGACACCACTGTCTTCCAGAGTGGCCCACCAGGTCAGACCATCCTCCCTGGAGCAGCACACTCTCAAACACCACGAGATCTCTGCTGCTTGTCACAGTGAGTAAGTGACATATTGTTGCCAGGAGAGCAACAGGATGAGGTAGGTGTGGTTTCTTTACATTGACCCATTCATTTAGATAGAGCTTAACTGATTAACTGCTAATGGTCTCAAACAAGGCGCTTGACTCTGGGCAACACAGAATGTTCTTTCTGGTCAGTGAACTATAGGCAACCACTTAACCTCTAGTAGGGTTGGGTGAATCCTTGAGTGAAACTCCAACTTCTTGGACAAATCCAAGAATGTGGCAGATCGTAGATTCCTAACTTTATTCTCAACTCAATCCTGAGTACAAGATTGTGGGCAATTCTTTTTTAATTATTTATTTTGTTATTTGTGTGTGTGTGTGTATGTGTGTGTGTGTGTGTGCGTGCGTGTGTGCGTGCGCATGTGTGCGCTTGCAGGTACCTTCAGAGACCAGAGGGATGTTGGATCCCTTGGAACTAGAGTTACAGGTGGTTGTGAGCTACCCAGCGTGGGTGCTGAGAACAGAACTCTGGTGGTTTGCAAGAGCAGCAAGTAGTCTAACTCTCCCCAGCCTGTGCAGGCTGTTCTTAAACTGTACTTTCTGTTCTCCCCTTCCCTCTCTGGGCCCACGAGAAAAGTCCTAGATTCTCAAGCTTTACAAAGAGAATAAGAGTAGATGGCTGCTCAGACATGACCATGAAGTTCTCAGAGGGAATCTTGTGCTGCAAGGATTGACAGTGCCAGAGGAGATAAGCTCTGCGAGGCACTAAGTGCTTCAGAGATAAGAGGAGGACTTTCATCAGACTTAGATAACTGGCTGCATCTGTCAAGATGGGAAAAGAAGAGGAAAAGGGTTAAGAATTGCAGGAAGTGGGAAAATGAATTCACAGAAAAGGCAGAGCAAACGTGTACAGCAAAAGGGAGTAAAAGAAAAACTGAATGGGGAACTTCAGGGCGAGCACGACAGTAAGCCGCAATATCTGGAAACCCACCAGCATCTGAGGGTGAAAGGATCTGATATATCCTATCTCCAAAACAAGATGAAAAGTGCAAGACTTAATATGATCGTAGTGAGTCCCTAAGGTCACAGTAATGAGAGAAGAGCATAAAAACTGTGAATGCTAAGTCTCTGAAGATGTAAAATGAACATGTTCCAGCAGAGGCAAAGGGTGATTCAAGTTCCGAAGAGGTTGGGCTGTCTGTGCCTTGCTCATTGATTCCCCATTCTCACAGAGATGGCTGAATACTTTCTACACATTGGTATGTAAACCTGACACGAAAGGGAAAGAGGTCATGTATTAAGAATTCATGCAAAAGTAAAGATAGTTTATGGAATGATGGCTCAGCAGTTAAGGGCACGGGCTGCTCTTACAGAAGGCCCAGGTTCCATTCTGAACACCCACATGGTGGATAACAATCATCTGTAACTCCAGTTCCGAGGGATCCCATGTCCTCTTCTGACCTCCACAGGCATTGTATGTGTGCACTTACATGCATGCAGGCAAAACACGCATAAACATAAAATAAAAATAAAATAAAATTTTAAAATTTTAAAAAGAGTGCATGCACAAGCTCCTTCTCCAGCGTGGTGGTTGGACAGCTACAGCAGAGTGAGTCTGGGAGGATGGCTCGCTCAGGAGAGCTATGCGCGATTGCCTCCAGAAACCTGCCAACCACTCTCACCTGAGAGATTTGATTCCTAAGTGTTAAAATTTCAAAACGTTCATCACCTTACATTAAACACACAAAGTCTGAAAGCACTTTTCCACCAGAGAACAGTTTCAAGTATCTTTCATGTACTTTTTAACCAATGACCTTTTATAAACTAATAGCCACCATCACCACCAGTCACATACTCCATTCCTTAACTTTTTCATCTGACCTGAGTCCCAGATAGACCTATTCATTTCAGAATCTATCTGGGTTTTAACTAATTCTTTAATATTGAGTGTCCTGAGCAGATGTTATATGTCAGAAGGAGGCTGATCAATCCAGGTCAATCCAGAATAAAGTGGAATCACTGTCCTGGGCTTTTCCTTGGGAAAATCCTAACGAGTTTATTGGGCTTGCTAACAGAGCATAGGTAGGGGGTTATTTACAGAAGAGGGGGCACTCCCCCGATTTATGGTTGCGCTGGAAAGACCACACTCAAATACAGATCCTGTGACTTCCTGACAGCCACACAATGTCCTGGACTTTTAAAATGGACTCTCTGCACAAAGCCTGTAGTGATCCCAGCATTTTCCTCAGGCCACTACACCACCAACTTTCTAGAGATCACTAGGTTCCAAAACTTTTGCTATCACCCTGGTAAACCCTCTTTCACAAGTGGGTTTCTGAGACCAGGTGAATAGCCTACATCCCATAAACGATCTCCTTTGCTTTATACTTTTCTTCCCCAAGCAGGCCCCAGACATCAGACCTGAGGAATGGCAGCACAGCGGCAGAGTTCATCCTTGTGGGCTTTGAGAAGAGCTCCCCTCCCACTCGGGCATTGCTCTTCACCGTCTTCTTAGCTCTCTACAGCCTCGCCATGGCCATGAACGGCCTCATCATCTTCATCACCTGGACCAACTCCAGGCTCAGCAGCCCCATGTGCTTCTTCCTTGGACACCTGTCTTTTCTTGACATCTGCTTCATCACCACCACCATCCCACAGATGCTGACCCACCTGGTGACCAAGAACCACATGGTCTCCTTCGTCTCCTGCATGACCCAGATGTATTTGGTCTTCTTTCTGGGTGTGGCCGAGTGCATCCTCTTGGCTTTTATGGCCTATGACCGTTATGCTGCTATCTGCCACCCACTGAACTATGCCCAGATCATGAGTCGGCAAGTGTGTGTCAGGCTGGTGTGCCCTTCCTGGATCTTTGGGATGATCAATGGCATCTTTCTTGCGTATATATCATTCCGGAATCCCTTCTGCAAAGACAACCACATTGAAAACTTCTTCTGTGAGGCCCCCATAGTGATCGCCCTCTCCTGTGTGGGCCCCCAGTTCAGCATGAAATTGATCTTTGCTGATGCCATTGTGGTGCTGCTCAGCCCCATGGTGCTCATCATCACCTCCTATGCCCGTATCCTGGCCTCCATCCTCTGCAGAACCTCCTCCTCAGGTCGTGGGAAGACCTTCTCCACCTGTGCCTCCCACTTGACTGTGGTCATCTTTTTGTATACCTCAGCTACGTTCTCTTACATGAATCCCCGCAGGACACACCGGCCTGACAAAGACGAGCCTTTCTCCCTCCTCTACACCATCATCACCCCAATGTGCAACCCCATCATCTACAGTTTCCGCAACAAGGAGATGAAGGGGGCCATGGGGAGGGCTCTCGGGAGAGGAAACCTGGCTCAAGCAGAGTCTGTCTAGGAGGGAGATCCTCCAGGTTAGTAACCCCTTTCCCAGCCCTCACTCTCCATTTCTGGACGACTTTGGGATGAGCATTCACGTCTTCCTTGGCACCAAACTCACAGCTCAAAGTTCCTCCCTGCCTGCAGCTCGGATCTTGAGTTGACTTCCCACACACGGATCCTCTCTGAGTTCTCTTTCATTATCGGAGGCACAAGTGCCCTGCAAAGAAGCTCATTTCATAGGTTGAGAAAAGACTCATGTTTCTCGAGGAAAAGCAATTGAAGTACACAACCAGATCATGTTTTGGGAAAGAGTACTTTGTGTTTGTTTATGTCTATGAGTGTACATACTTATATGTGTGCAGATGCATATTGTGTGCCTGCATGTGGAGACCACAGGGCAACCTCAGGTGCCATTCTTCAGGTCTACTCACCCTTTTTTGAAATGGGTTTTTCTTTTTTTCAAAATTTTTTGAGCTTTTGTAATTTCATACAACAGTTCTTAATCAAATTTAGATCCCCTCCCCAATCCATACCCTCCCATCCCCCCACCAGACCTCATGTATTCTGCCATACACATCAAGTCCTATCCAGTCAAGCATTTGTACCCAGATGTCTTTCAGTGTAAATTCATTCACCAGTGTCTAGTCAGCCCACCCAGAGATCCTATGTAAGGCATACTCTCCCTCACCCAGCATCGAACAGTCTCCTATAGTTCTCAGTCTAGGAACTACCCACCATCCATTTTATTACTCCCCTGTAGACCCTTGTTTAATTGAATTGGTTCCTGTGCTCCATTGCCACAAGTTCACATGTGCAAGCTTCCAGTGGGTGGCCTCTGAAAGCCTCTGCTTCAAACCAGGGTTTTTCACTGGTTTGGAGCTCACCCAGTAGGTAGGGTTAATAACCAGAAGGTTCCAGGGGGCCTATGTCTGTCTTTCCCTCACTGCCCAGTGCTGAGATTAAAAGCCTAGCTACGCCAAACCTTTTCTTTTATGTGGGTTCGGGGGATCAAACTCAGATCCTTGTGCTTATATGGCAAGCACTTTACCAACTGTGCTATCTCCCAACCCCAAGAGTAATACCTTCAAGGGACAGAATCAAATCATAGGTGTGTAGGCTTTGGAAAAAGAATAGACTGAAAGCACATGAAGATGCATCATGTTAAGTAAAGGTTGGAAGCTTAATACGGTGAGGGATGCAGGATTCCACCCCTACATGGTGGCCCCAAGTTCATCAATTAAGCTAGGTTCCAACAAAAAATTGATTAAATGGTGAGTTTGCATTACTCGCCAAAGTCAGAGAGAAGAAATATTGTTTGCCAGGTAATGTTGAAGCAGAATACAGAAGCTCGATCAGAAAGCACAAGAACACCAGCGTCCCCAGGTTGTAAACTGGGCGTTTGAGCTATGTATCGAAGTGTCCCAGGTCAGGAACTCTATGTGACCTCTGCGTCACGCAAGAACAGATAGAGCCAGAGTATTTTAACATGTGTACATATGTATTACAGGTGATTTAATTTTTTTGTTCGTTTCTCTTTAAACATAGAGTCCAGGTCTAGATCTCTTAGCCCAGTCTCCCACGTATGGGGATTTCTTGGATGCACTGCAATGCCTGACTCCACCTGAAAATTTTATCATTAGCCTGAATGTATATTGTACAATTTAAATTTATCATTTGAAGCTTCCCTCTTGCCTTGATACATTTATGATCACTGAGTCTATGACCACCCTTGTCTTCTGTGCTCTCCTCTACCCTATTCCCTTATCTATGGACTAGATCAGTGACTACCAACCAATGACAATTTTGCTTCCCAGGATATATTTGGCAATGTCTGAAGATATTTTTGGTTTTTTCCACTGGAAGAGAGAGTTTCTACTGTTATCCCGGGCACAGGCCATGCGAGCTGTAAGCATTCTGAAACTCTCAAAACAGCTCCTCCACCCTAAGACATATGTGGTCTAACATCTCAACACTGGAGAAAGGTTGAAAGAGGTATTATAAGGGCAGAAAAAGGAAGATAATGAGAGGTATTAATACTGGAAAAAGAAACAAAGGAGGGAATAAAGCATCGAATTCTGTCTGTAATGTCTCCCTCCAGCTGCCTGAGGGCAGCATTTACAAAGGAATCCCCAGGCAATGTTCTGTATAAGCGCTTATGATAAAATCTACTTCAAAACCGCTCTCTGTGTTTGTCTCCATCAATCTACTCCTGCCTTCCATTTCTCATGTTATAAAGATGGTTCCTATCCAGTCAAACCCCGCTGTGTGCTGCTAGCATGGTCTCTGATTTAGATTCTCTCCTTTTCCTGTAACCACGTCTCATCCACCCCGACCCGGGCAAGTCACCCCTCCAGTTTCACATTCCTGCCTGCCTCCCTCCCATCCCTTGTCCCCTCTGCTCTCCTGCCATGAGGCCTCAAGAAATGCCGTTTTCTGTACTCTAAAACTCTACACCTTCCTGGAGGAATACTTCCTAGGCTTCCAACTTTTTCCTCATTCACTTACAGACTCCTTGCTTCTGCTAATGCCAGTCTTTCCCCCTCACGCAGCTTACTCTGTTGCCGTGGTACCCTCCCTCCTCCCACTTCCACGTTAGGACACCACTGACTACTTTTAATAACAGTTTTTCATCTTTTTTAAACCTACTACACATAAAATATATTCTGTTCACCCAGAAGTTTCCATCTACCTTTTTCCTCTGTACTAAATATTTTCTTTTGCCCTACTAGGAACACATCTCTCCATCTTCCTCCAAAGCTGGGCCTTGATAACTACATAGTCAATGAGTTTCCTTGACTTTTAGATCTGGTTGGAGTCAGCTAAGGAGGGTTGCTAGTAGTAGGATGCAGGATGACAGGAACACAGTGTGTGAGAATATTTATTCTTCTTGGTTCCTTCCTTGACTACCCAGGTCCTGTGAGGTTCTATAACCACAGACATCTCTGCTCCTTTCTCTAGGCTCCCTGTTCTTAGAAGGTAGCTCCAGGGTGCTTCACCGTCACTGCTTGGTCCCCCTTGATGTCCCTGTGTTTCTATAAGCTCTTTCATTTGTCCTGTTTCACAGTGCCATCCATTTCCTTCCAGAACACAGATGAATTTGGTGGCTGGTGACAGATACATATTTTCAATCACAAATTGGAAATTTCTCAAAATAGATCGCTTCGTAGTCCATAAAGCAAACCTCAAAGCATTTGAAAAAGAATTAGAAAGAAGAGACCCTCTGATCACAATGTGCTTATATTAAAAATTAGTACCAAGGACTGGAGAGATTGCTGGGTGGTTAGGAGCACTGGCTGCTCTTTCAGAGGACCTGAGTTTGGTTTCTAGAACCCACATTGTGGCAAACAACTGTCTGTAACTCTGGTTCCAAGGGATCCAACACCCTCTTCTGGCCTCTATTGTATGACATGGGTGTACTTAATATGTGCAGGCAAAACACACATACATATTAAAATGAAAATAAATAAATCAAAAAATTTAAAACTCAGTACCAAAAAGATAACTAGAAAAAAGCACATATATGGGACTAAAAGGTACATTGCAACTAATCGATAGATAAAGAATAAATTATCAGTGTAGTCTGAGAGGTGACTAATAGAAAGCCTCAAGTACTCCCTCCATCCTCTGGAAATACTCCCTCCAATCTTCTGGAAATACTCCCTCCATCCTCTGGAAATACTCCCTCCATCCTCTGGAAATACTCCCTCCAATCCCATTTTCCTGAAAAAGTTGAAACCCATATGAATATGGATAAACCCACATTCACATAATAATTCATATTTTGCATATAATAAACCCATTTTCTTTAAAAAGCTGAACAAATTGAAATCCATATGTCTATTGATACACATCATTAACTCTAAATTCTGCATATGACAAAAAACATGAGATGGGTTTTCATTCCCCCATTACCCTTTCCTGTTTCCCACTTCCCAGCCCTGTGTTTGAAAATAAAGGGTATGTTCTCTTCCTCCTTCCCCAGAACCTTCCTTCTACTTTAATGCTACACACACAAAAAAAAATCTAGATTTCACACACAAGAAAACACATGCAATATCTGTCTTAAGTTTAGCTTATTACACTGAACATGTTGATCTCCAGTTCTGTCCATTTCCTTGCATATGACATAATTCATTCTTCTTTACAAATAAGTAAAAGTCCATTGTGTGTGTGAATGTACATCATATTTTCTTTGTCCATTCATTTGTTGATGGACACCTAACTTATTTCCATCTCTTGGTTATTATGAATAGTGCAGCAATAGACATAGATGTGCAAGTATCTCTGGGTTATGTTGGCTCAAGGTCCTTTGAGTGTATACCCACAGTGGTAGGGCTCATACCGATTTCCATAGGGGCTGCGCCAGTTCTTACAGCAGTGGGGAAGGGTTCCTCTTTCCCCACATTTGCTGCTGTTTTCCTTGCCGATAACTGTTCCAGCTGGGATGAGATGGACTCTCAAAGAATTCTTTATTTGCATTTCCCTGATGGCTGAGGATGATGAACTTTTTTTCAAGTATTTGTTGGTCATTTGAATTTATTCTTTGGAAAACTCTGTTCAACTCATTTGCCCATTTATTTAGTGGATGATTTGGTTTTGGTGTTTAATTTTTTGAATTCCTCTTTAATTTTATTTTTGACAATTACATATTTGTATACAATGTACTCTGCCATTGTGGTGGTTTGAATGAAAATGTCCCCCATAGGCTCCAAGTATTTGGACATTTTGTCCCCAGATGATGGTGCTGTTTTGGGAGGTTTTAGAAGGTGTGGCTATCCTGGAGGAAGAACGTCACTGGGGGTGGGCTTAGAGAGTTCTTAAGCTTTGCCAGATCTCCAATCACCCACTTGCTTGCTTCCTTTGCCTGCATGATGATGTGAGAACTTAGCTTCTGCTGCTCCTGCTCCAGCCACCTCCAGCCACCATGCCTCCCTGCCATGATGGACTGTAATTCCCCTGGAACTGTAAGCTCAAATAAACTCTTCCTTCTATAAATTGCTTTGGTCAGTGTTTCTA